CCCCCCCCCTTCCACTGGATGTACGCCGCCTTTTTGGCAACCAGGCATTCCCGGACTTCCTTGGTGAGCCAGGGAGGCTTTTGGGCACTCTTGCCCCCCCTTGCTTCTTGTTGGGATTGTCACCTCTTGGGCCCTGAGTATCGTCTCCTTAAGGAACGACCACTCATCTTGGGCACTGAGTTCCCCTGCCCTCGAGAACCCCAGCGCCTCTCCCACCAATCTCCTCAACTTGTTGAAGTTGGCCCTCTTGAAGTCTAGGGCTACCGCCTTGCTGTAGGCCCTTGACACCCTGACAAAAGTTGCATCATTTTCAGAAAAGCCATGTCAGAACGCTGTTTGAGATTTTTGTGCCCAACCACGCTCTAATTTTATTAACAGTGATGTACTCTAATGGGTTACTATTGAGGATCACTATTGTACTGATATATTAAATCTACTGAAAAGTTAATGCCATTAAGCAGCTACACTGCAACAGGTTTACTTTGTCCAGTATATGTGTTTTCTAGGCCAAAATGTATTTAAATTAGCTGAAATTGATTTCATGGTCCAGATTCTGTTCTAGTAGACAATATTTTAAACTCAGAATTACTCCAGTAAGTTAATTAAACTTACACCAGGAAAGGATAAGAAAATGTGGCCAATAACATATTTAAATATTGTACAGGATGCAATAGAAGAATGAAATCACAAGAGAATATACAGATGTTTTCTCCAGGAAAACATGAATGTGATTACAGAGGATTTCCACATGCTGGCCTCTGTGTATTGCATCTATAATTATGTGTGGGCACAATCAAGTCGGAGATGCTTGTGCTATTTCATGAATATTTTATGTCTATGAGTTTTGTGTTGCTTGCTACATAATTACAATGGGAGGGGAGTTGTTAAAGTCATCAGCAGGAAAGTCGACAAACATGTCTGGCAGCTTTCCCTTAAAGGACAATACAAGAACCAGCCCCCTTGTATTGTGTCTCTGACCATACTGAGCTCAATGTCCATGGTTTGACTTTGGGGAGGTGCTGACTTCACACCTGCAAATAATTTTGGTACCAAGTTGCACATGCAAATTATGGGGGCAAAACTTAATGGGCGGTGAAGGCATGTCAGAAAATCAGAGTCAATAGCTGTCTGTTTTTTCATTCCAGTTTAGAGTCCAATGTCTGACTGGAATTTTGGCGAAAATGAGATCTTTGTAATTATCCTTATTGGACACCCATTATTCATTTTGTTTGCTTTGGTTATTTTCCAGTTTTCCTGTTTCGGAGTATTTGTATGCTGATAATCCTCATCTGGCAGGGCCATTCTTCTTCCTTGCATCGTGCTCACAATAACAAGTGGCTATGTAGTACCTGTGGAAACCCCCAGATATGGAAATGATATTAACAGTCCATCCTCTACCTCTACAGAAGTTCCTGAGAGTTTTCCTTCTTGGGATCTGCAAGTCCAGCTTTCATACCCAGGGCAGCTCTCAGGACCAATTAGAGCCGTTGTTGGCAATGGTTCCTAGTGGGGGGCCAGCATGACTCAGCTCAGGTTCATGGTGCGCCAGCGCTAAGGCTCACCCGCCCAGCCTTTATGTGGCACATCTCTGTGGGCTGGATCCAATTGGTTCTGCAGGCCAAATCTGCAGGCAACATTGCCAACCCCTGAATTAGAGGCTTGAATATTTTGTTTAATGGTTAGACTAGAAGACCCACAGTCAGGATTTCTGTTCTGCCACTGACTGCTTGCATGGTTTTGGGCATGACACATACCCAGTCCTAGTTACTTGCTTCTTTGCATCAGGATGCAGCTTAGATTTGTAAAACTTCTGAGACTTTTGGCTATAGCAGATGGCTGCTAAATGCAGCATATCATATGCATATCTTTTGCTGTTCCAATTCTTTTCCATTATTTCTTTGACGTATTTGTATAAGAAGCCAATTCTGTAAGGAGGCCAGGCCAGAACTCTGAACCCAGCTGGTCCCAGTCAAGAGATCAAGACAAGTCATTCCCCAAACAAGTGCCACCTGCAGCCAGCCCTGGGCAGCAACCTGGTCCCAGCTGAGCTGGGGCAATCAGGACAGCCAATCCCCTGAAGCCAGAGGCAACAGACCCCACCCGCACCAGCCCTTAAAAGCCAGACTCAGGCTGCAGTCTCCTTGTCCCAGCAATGGTAAGAGTTCTTGTCCCGGTCCTTTGTGTGCTTCCCTGCTGGCTCCTGGCTCCGAGTGCGGCTTCTGATCCTGGTAAGACCCTTGGCATTCCCTGACCCTCTGCTTTCGGTTCTGGCTCAACCTTCAGCTCTAGCTTTGGCTTCTGTCCTTGGTTAATCCTCAGCTTACTCTACCTCTTGTTTCAGATTGTGACCCCAGTCTGTCCGGACTCTGGCTACAAATCCAGTTCTGCTGCCAGACCCGACACCACCCAGACTTTGGGTATGTTCTACCCACTAGGCTAGACCATTCACGCCCCAGTTTGCTAACAGACTTTTCCTGAGCTTTTTTTTTTTTCCTCTATTTGCTCCAGAAGGGAAGTCATAACACCTGTTTATGACATCACAGGCTATTGCAGTAGATTTATGACATCACAGGTGGTACTTTATTATCCTACCAAAGGATCTAGTGGGAGAAGACAGGCTTTAAGGGAGGAACAATGTTTGTTTAAATCAAAGGGACCCAAACCAAAACTCCTTCTGATACTGCTGTCACTTGTAAAAAGGATCTGGACAGCACACATTAAACCCATCTGTGGGTTCAATGTATACAAATATTTTAGTAGGTAGCAAGGGAAGTTTATAAAGAATGGCTAGATGTATCAGATGCCCAGCTGGTAGTATTTGGAGTGGTTTCACTTAAATCCAGAGAGCTCTGCTAACTTGTGCTGGTTTCTCACCCCAAAAACTTTTAAGTATGATGCAATCTAAATTTTCCAGGAGCATATCCATTGATCCTTAAAGGGTACTGCAGCATAAACATCCTCACAAGCCCTATTACAATAGCAGGGGCAGTCAGCTTTATTTACAGGATGATTTTTTTTTCCCCATGCAAACTGAAAACAATAACAGTTTGGAACAAGTCGGCAAAGACTGGAACAAGAATCCATCCCTTTAAAACAACCTCATAAACATTACACCGAACTGTGAGTTCATTCCCAAAGAGGTCAAATGATCAAGTATCCAATTTATCCCTCCTAGCAGGTGTCGGAAGTTTGTAGAGCTGAACTCCACTGAGGAATGGAGGAGGGAGGACTCGCCAGGGACAGATGCAGTAATTGTTCACAGCTGGGAAACTGCTGGGCTATCCAAAAAGCACAGATTTTGATTAAGAAACTGGCAGATTGTGGGCAGGAAACACATACATGCTCTCTTCTATAAGTTTGGTGGCAGGAATCTGCATGGCAGGCCAAGGGGGCTTGTAATGCTAATGTGTTTAATTCAGTTGTTCCAATCACTAAACACCCTTTTTTTTTTTTTTTTTTTCCTTGTTACTCTTTTTTTAATAGTCCTGGTCCTCTGCTTTAGGGCACATGGGGAAGTGCTACCAAAATGTTCATCAGCTAACTGCAAAGGGGGAGAAACATATACTGACCCCCTCTAGCTGTGAAGCATGATGGTATGTCAACCCCCAACACTCAGAATGAGGTGGGTGAATGCACTTGCTTCATTCTACATAGCTCGAGCACTTCAACTCTGGAAAAAGCCCTCAGGGGTTGAATAAGAGGATTGAAGGAGTGTGGGAGAAGGAAGGTGGTTGAGGAATGGACTGGCATAAATTGTCACAGGAGGAGAGAGCAATGATAAGCCACTTGCATTCATCACTGTTGTGGGGTTGGGCTAAATGACTAATGGAGGTCCTTTCCAGCCCTACTTCTCTATGATGGTCTATGAAATACTTCTGGTGCATGTAGTCCAAAGGGGAAGTTCTTTCCAATTCATGAAAATGAGTCCCTATTTTACAACTTGGCTAAAGTTAGTAACACAAATGGATGCATTCTACAAAGTAGTAGCAGAGGATTCAGGTTGCTGAAAAGGGAGCTGTGGTGTAGTGGAGAGCTCACTGCACATGTGTCCAGCAGCTGACATTGGAGCTGTCAGCAGCGAAGTGGGGTGCGACTGACCAGTGCACCCTCCCCTGCTTGGATCTGTCTCTGGTAATGCAGGATTTTCCCCTGTGTAGAATAGTGTTGACAACAAGTAAAAAGTGCCAAGTGCATGCTTTTCCTTTTGCTTTACACAAGGTTGCTAACTGTGTATCATGCTTTTGGTACAGAAGCAACTATTATATGGTATTATACAAAGTTAACAAGCCAGTGGCTACACTAATACCTATGTTAGGCCTCTAAACAGGTCTAGTGTGAAGTAGATCTGATGTGGTTGATACCTGCACTGTGGTAGTGCCTAAAAAGAGTCCAGTACGTGAGCTGGGCCCAGAACAAATGCATAGGTAGACATGGTCTCTGCCCCGAAGAATTTGCAATGCAATGAGCCAAGACAAACAGCAGCAGACAGACTTCACAGTTAAGCAAATTGCCCAACATGCATAACTTGCCAGTAGTATTGTTTCCATTAAGAAGTTTCTGACATCAGTCTCTCTTATTCCAGTGACCTCGGGAAATATGTTATGCCATACTGTCACAATGGGACCTTCCTCCATCCCACGAGAATAAGTTCAGGCACAGGGTGAGGAGTTAGGCTTCCCATCAGATTCTGCCACTCCTTTCCAGTCCTGGATGGCATCTCCGTTCTGTGGGAGATGCCTGTCTGTGCTCTAGGGTTTCCTCAGGTTGGGAGCAGGGGTCAACGTGTTTGTGAAGACTTAAGTAGACATAATCTGAGCTGAATGCTTATGGAGTTAATAAAAGTGCTCTAGATTAGAGCTTGCATGAACAGCTGTCTGCTGGTATGAAAATCGGTTCAAAGCAAATAACTTCTGACCAAGAGCAAAGAATAGAGGTGCTCCTTATCCTGCCCTTTTGCATGAAGCACAGCCATCAAGTAAACATTATTCCAAAATGGAAGACACATGAGGCAGCTGACACATGATAGGCTTTTTTAATCTGTAAAAGGGCTGGCATATTTAGATGATTCCTAGAAAAACTAGGGTTGGAAGAGACCTCAGGAGGTCATCTAGTCAATGCCTGCTCAAAGCAGGACCATCCCCTAACTAGATCCTCCAAGCCAAGGCTTTGTCTACCCGGGTCTTAAAAGCTTCCAAGGATGGAGACTCCACCACCTCTCTGGGTAACCTGTTCTAGTATTACTCTCCTAGTGAGAGAGGTTTTTCCTAATATCTAACCTAAATTTCCTTTGCTGCAACTTGACCATTGCTCCTTGTTCTGTTATCTGCCACCACTGAGATCAGTCCAGCTGCATCTTCTTTGGACCCCCCCACCTGCAGATAGTTGAAGGCTGCTATTAAATCCCCCATCAGTCTTGTCTCCAAACTAAATAATGGCTAAGTAGCCAGGTACCAGCATAAATGGCCTGTGCTGTCCAATGAGGTGGGAATGGTTAAGACAGGGGTGGGCAAAATGCGGCCCACCAGGTCATTCTATCTGGCCTGTGGGGTGCCTAAAAAATTTAGAAAATTAATATTTATCTGCCCCTGGTTGCCTGTCATGCGGCCCTCAGTTGCTTGCCAAAACTCAATAAGCAGCCCTCTGCCTGAAACAATTGCCTGCCCCTGGGTTAAGAGAACTAGCAGATGCATTGGTTTCAGTGAATTTCCTGAGCAACGTGCACTGGTGCTACTTCTGCTGAGCCTATGGCAGAGATTAATTTTTCCCTCCTTGGTAGAAGGATCTGAGAAGAGTAGTTGGTGTTACTACTCCTATCATAGCATGGATGAATTCTACCTGGCCCTGGCTAGAGCAGGATGATATAGCTTGTGATGGGAGAAGAGAGCGTAGCTCTTTGTCGATAGGGATTTGAGTTAAGACTCATACATAGGGAATTTAGGAATGGAATGAGATACCAGTAATAGTTAACCTGTGGGCTAGATCCCTGTGTGTCATACAGATACTTTATGGCACAGAAAGCCTTCACAAACTTGAATGAATTTGGCTATATGAAGGTTAGCCCAGTGAAAGGGGAGTATATCTAGGACGTATCTATTTTCTGGCAGTTTACAATGGCCTTGAAGACCATTTGGTTTGAACTGATTGTTTAAAAAGCCACTCGGCATCCAAGAGTGCTGCAGGAGTTCACGTGGATGACATGAGACATTCTCACCAAAAAAATGCTGTCTTTCATTAAACACGCTACTCCAGAGGATTGGGAGGTAGTAAATGAACCTCTGTTCAAAAGAGGCCACAAGAGTGATCTGGGGAAATATACACCAATAAACCTTACATCTGTAATAGCCAGATTGGAATAAACAATCACTGAAACAATAGTCATAAACACAGTCACAAAACACCTGGTGTGCATGATGTGAATAGGGTTTAACCAGCACAGCTTCTGCAAAGGAAAACTGCATTCTAAATGAACCGTATTCAAGTCCAGAAAGGGCCCTAGGAATCATCACTGGAAACCTCTGCTCCATGAGCAGCTGCAGTCAAATAAGCAAAACAGGATGCATAAAGTATGGGATGAAGAATAATGCAGAGAATATTAGAATGCATTTATATGGATCAGTGTTACAGCTTGATCTGGAATAGCATGGGCAGCACTGGTTGCCACTCTTAGAAAGGATATTTCAGAAGTAGAGGGGGTGCAGAGAAGGGTGGTAATTCTCCTTATGAAGTGATTGAGAAAACTGGTATCATTGACATTAGAGAGGAGGGTGAATGTTAATAAGAGGGACCATGGCAGTACTATGTGTACTAACAAATAGTCTAAAGAAGGCAGGTTCGGAGTTTTTGTTCTCTCAGTCTCATAAGGCAAGACACAAGGGGGTGTTCAATGAATTTAAATGGTGGCAAACACAAAAGTGATGGAAAAGAATACTTTTCCAGGTAACACATAATTAAACTCTGGGACTCAGTGCCCCAGGATTGAGGCTGAGATCAGACATGTTATACATGTAACAATAGCCAAAATTGTTAACATCAGTAATAATATTAATCAATATCAATATTAAACCTTTGACTTACTCCCGGAAGCACATCTCTTGCTATCTAGCGTGGAGGACAGTTCGTCCCACATTTGCCTACTGAAGAGGTTGGATACCTTTCTCTGGGGACCGTGGTACCGGTGACTCTGAGACAAACGTTGGGCTTTGGGTCTGAATTGGTTTGGCAGCACTTAAGTACCTCTATGTTGTTCATAATGCTGTGGATAAGGTGTGCACCGGACTGATCTCAGGATATACTTGATGCCATCAAATGGGTTAAAGCCATCTTAATGCTCCTCACTTCTGAGCCGCACTGGGCAAAAGTTGAATTTGCAGCCTACGAGCCTGGCCTCTATTATTTAAAATTTGCAAACTCCCTTAAA